GCAACCAGGCCCCTGCTGCCTGTGGCGCAGAATCCACAATCGGCGGATCCCAGGCTCGAAGCACCAATTCGCCTTTCTGGCTTCAATTACCAGCTCTATTCCTTCACCAGGTCCCCAAGGATACTCAACAGAGATGTGACGTTACAATATTTTTTGGGTGAATATTTTTCAAAGTCAAAATACTTTAAACATAGGGTCCTTAGACTGTCCCAAGACATCGTGCCCAATCCGAGCCCACCTGACAACTGGCCCTCCCCGCCCCCACCACCCCAGCCCACTGACAGAACACACCTCCTGCGTCTTCATTTCCCCCTTGCTCAAAAACTGCCCTTGGCTACACAGTGCCAGCAAATGCAAATGAGGCCCTTGACCCAGCCTGCACAATTTCCAGAGGTGATAATGGGTCAAGAGTGGTTTGGAATTAGATTCAAACAGGAGTGAACTTTAGCTTGGCCATTTAATAGCCTAATGGCATGACCTGGAGCAGGTCTCTGAGTCTCTGTGACCTGCTTTATAAAATGGAATTGACAAATCTATATCAGAGTACAGTTGTGTGGACCTCTGAACACATACATGTGTGTGTGTTCCTATCATATGTATATGTATATATACACATGTGTAGACATGTATGTGTATATATATAAGCATTATGTGTGTGTATATATGTATGTGCATATGTATTCCTATTACATCAAACAACGAACACTGTTAGCTCTACTTCAGTCCATTTTGACGTGTGGCAGCCCCGGGTGAGCCTTGCCTTTCGAATTCTCGGCTCTCTTGCTTTTTGATTGTCAGACCAGGGTGCAGGTACATTAGCTAGTTCCCTGCTTTCGCTGGCAAGTCTCACTTCCTGCAAGACATCCCTGAGGAGAAGCCACAAGGACCTACCCTGATGCAGCCCTGGGTGCTGGAGCAGCCGCGTGGAGACCTCTGCCAGTGCTGAGATGCTTACACGCTCACTGAGTCTGCATCATAGTGTGTGTTTTGTGAGATGGAGGAGGACTTTGTGGATTGGTGTTGGGCATATGGGTTCATGGGTTAATGTTGGACTTGTGGACTTGGGCAGCCCTGGGTTGAGAGGTTTTCTTGATGTGCACTTACCCTTTATATAAAACTCTCTCTTATACATCTGGGTTTCTGTGGATTTGTTTCTCTAAAGTACCCATACTAACACATTATGGTACCGGGAGTAGGGTTCGAATGTGTGTGTGTTCCTATCATATGTATGTATATGTGTATATATATACATACATGTGTATACATGTATGTGTGCATATATATAAGCATTATGTGTGTTCCTATCATCTGTATATGTATATATACATACATGTGTATACATGTATGTGTGCGTATATATAAGCATTATGTGTGTGTTCCTATCATATGTATGTATGTGTATATATACATACATGTGTGTACATGTATGTGTGCACATATATAAGCATTATGTGTTCCTATCATGTGTATGTGTATGTATATGTACATACATGTGCATACATGTATGTGTGCAAATATATGAGCATTATGTGTGTTCCTATCATCTGTATATGTATATATACATACATGTGTATACATGTATGTGTGCGTATATATAAGCATTATGTGTCTGTTCCTATCATGTGTATGTATATGTATGTGTACATACATGTGCATGCATGTATGTGTGCGTATATATAAGCATTATGTGTGTGTTTCTATCATATGTATGTATATATATACATACATGTGTATACATGCATGTGTGCATATATATAAGCATTATGTGTGTGTGTGTTCCTATTACATCAAGCAATGACCACTGTTAGCTGCACTTGAGTCCATTCTGATGTGCAGCAGCCCCGGGTGAGCAGAGCAGAACTTCCTCAAGTGCTGCTTCCCTTTTTAATAATAAGCTACTCAGAGACGTTGTCATGATTAGCCCATTGTCCCCCCACCATCTCCCAAGCAGGGACCACAGACCTAGGGGATAATGTTGGTTTCATAGGCAGACGCCCTGTGAAGCTTGCACATGGCGTGGCGCCGGCCCAGAAAGGAGCCTCTTCTGCCCACCCTCACGCCTTTTTCACCTGCAGTGCTGCCCCACATCTCCCAAATCAGGAGTCTCCCTTAGCACCTGATCTATCCCCAGCCAGTTCTCGGGACTGAGAGAGTAGAAAAGGCCCTGCCACTTCTAACATCCTGAGGTGAATCATCACAAAAACACCAGGATCTAAGCAAACGGTGTACGAATCCGGAACAGCTATTAAACAACCCTGAAGCAGTGCTAGCACGCGACACGGACACAAACATGCGCATCTGTGCCCCGGAACAGCACTCCGTAAAGGTGTGCTTGCGTAGACAAGCGTCTGCATTATCATGCACACCCCTCCCTCGTTTCATTTCTCACCAACTGCTCCTCGTTCCCATGGCAGCAGCCCTTCCACTATCAGGAGCCTCCCGAGCAAACCACTCGCCATTCTCTCTCTCTCTCTGCTGCCCAAAGAAGCCATACTAGAGTGGGAATTCATTCCAAACACAAAGCAATGGATTGTGATAAGAGTTGTATGAGCCGCTAATAAAATGATTTAAAAAAAACAAACACAAAGCAAACTATGTTAGGGCACTTTTCCCTCCTGTACTGCCAAACTCTCCTCTCCAGCAAGGATGGGGCGGGACCTCCACCCGCCCAGCCCGAGGTCTCAATTGCTCACCATGTTGGAGATACTTCGGGTGTTGTCCGGATTCAGCATGACGATCTCGGTGGTGATGTGGCCCTCCACTGCCTCGGTCATCTCATCCACCGTGCAGTTGATGGAAGGGTCATAAGTCTTGAACCAGTTGTCAGCGTACCACCCAATGAGAAACCAGACGTATTTCTTCCCAAAGAGCCGCTCCTTGTACACCTAAGTAGGGGGGGGGGGGACGACTCTTTTAATGGGTTTAACTTCATTTCCTGCTACTCGGCCTCTTGGGAACACAATTAAACAACAGAGATCAAGGGGAAATTTCCAGCGCTGGTGAGGTGAGGAAGCCTGGGCAGCCCCCCTTCCAAGGTCCTCCCAAGCCCAAGCGCCTTCATTTCTGGGTGGCCTTCCCAGCCAGTCAGGAAAGAAGGTGCCAGAGGCTCTTGGGGAAACACAAAGAGGTAGGGCAATGGGCTCTGGAGGAAGTCCTCGTTTGAGAAGTGGAGGGTGACGTCAAAGCCAAGAGACAGGGACACCATGTCAATGGTCACCTCATAGTCAAACATTAGTCAAACATGCATGCAGGGAAGAGCCCCCCCATGGGAAACCCAAGGCCAAGGTCCCACTCAGTTCCCCACCCTCCTCGGAGTCTAACTCCACCCCACCTCACAAAACACTTTCCGGGCTTCCGTCTCATAGAAAAGTCCCACGATGATTCTTGCATCCTGACGCTGCGGGATGGGGCGAAACAAAGCTCCTGAGAGGGAGGGTCTGGGAAGGCCTGAGGGGTCAGGAAGCATGTCTCCCTCTTTGAATTCCTGTCCTAGAAGGCTCAGGGCAGGGTTCTGTGCAACAGGTCTCAGATACATGTCATCTGGAAGATGGGACTAATCTTCCCGAGCAGACACCGCTCCCTCGCAGAACCGAAGCCTGCCCTCCCCACCCACTGAGCCCACCGTCCACCATCACACCTTGAGGTTCTTGACAGGCACGGCTGGGTCTGAGAAGAAACTCTGACGGAAGGTAATCTCAATCCCAGCCTCCTTCACTCGCTCCTCGAGGTCGTCCAGAGTCTGGGGGGAAATGAGAGGTGAGAGGGAGAAATGTGGGGTGCAGGCAGGTGAGACCAGAGATGCAAACTGGGGTTGAATATTTGGGGCAAAGAAGTAACTGTTCAGACCGTCCCCTGAACTTCTGTCCTTTGGGGGAAAGCACTTGAGAAGCATTGGGAGGCTTACGCTGTGGCTGTGCAGCGGGAGGGTGTCTAGTAAGTTCCGCCTTGCTCAGGGGATATGTTCAGAAAGTCACCCACCCAGCCCGCTCTCAGCACCTCAAACAGCAATGGGGGGAGGGAAAGTACAGAGGGAGAGGAATCCGAGGCAGGGAGAAGATGGAATGGAGCTCAGGAGTCAGACAAACAGACCAGAAGGTTGCCCTGCGTCACTAAGAGAGAGTGGACCAAGGACAAAGACTGACTACACAGACAACCCCAAAAAGAGACAATAAAAGGCAAGGAGCTGCCTGCCTTCTTCTTATTAAAAATCAACAACCAAAAAGCACCACATCAAACAGTTGCCATCCTGGTGACCCATTCATGTCACAGTGGTGATTTTCAATGGCTGTGAGCTTTCGGAAGCAGATGGCCAAGTCTCAACCCGCCAAACACCGCCATTGAGCAGATGCCGACTCACCATGACCCTACAGACATGACAGTACAGAACTGCCCCTGTGGGTTTCCACACTGGAGTGCTTTCCGGGAGTAGACAGCCTTGTCTTTCTCCCTGAGAACTGCTGGTGGTTTCAAACTGCCGACCTCGAGAACTACATGTAACCACTACCACCACCAGGGCTGTAGGTGAATTCAAGCCAACCTTTCTCAGTGATGGACTCCTTCTTCCAGTGACGGGCCATGGCTTTCCACTCTCCACCTCCACAAAACTCCCCTCCCTATCAAGCCACCAACCTCCCCTATCTGTCAGCATCTTGAACAATCAGACACATGTGCACGCATTTCTCTCCCTCCCACATCCATTTCCATAGCTCATTCCCTAGGTTCCCACCCATACTACCCCTCCCCCAGCACACCCCACCCCCCGCCTCCTCTGTCTCTGGGATGTGCTACCTTCCTGGGCCCCTTATCATAGTCCCTCCCTCCTGTCTCTTGCCTCAACTGTGGAGTGGACCTGCTGTCATAGGAGTGAGTCACTCTGGGTGTCTGTCTGGAGGACAGAGTATCAAACAGAGAAAGGAAAATCAAACACCCCAAGATGCCGAAGAGGATCAGAAAAGTGACAGAGAAGACCCAGGCTGAGCCCAGGCACGAGGTGCTCTCAATGAAGAATCAAGACCTCCCCCCAGAAAACGGATCCTGGGCCAGGTCCCTCTCTACAGCGTTTGAGCAGGAAGACCCCCTCCCACCGCCGCCGCCCCTGCTCACCGAAGTGAAGACCTCAGTGGTCTGCTGGATGGTGGCGATCTTCTTCCAGCCCCACTTCTCGAATAGCTTCACACGAGTCGGGTTGTGCAGCGTGGCCGATGGGTGGGTTCGGAAGAAGGTGGGGAACCGCTGCCGGTTGGACAAGGCTGGCGAGCTGGAGCCGTAGGACAGCTGAGGGGAGCAGCACGGGCTGGTCTTCACAGAGTGCACGTGGTTGCTCAGGGCTCCTCTACCCCTCTCTTGATTCTAGTTTTCTGTCCCCCCACTGTCTCCCCACCTCCCCACTCGTGTCCCTGGCAAAATGATTCTCAAAAGCCCACAGATCCCCTCGGCAGGCAGCTCCTCTCCTGATGTGATGTCAAGCCCTGCTGATGAACAGCGAGGTCATCATGGGCAGCCTCGTCAGACCACTGCTGCTACAGAGACAACCCAGGACCCTGAAGCCCGGTCCTTCTAAATCTACTTCCTCAACCCCCCTCACCTCCTTCAGAACAGCCACCCAAGGGAACGAGCCGCCCCTTCTGACGCATGGGCTCTACTCACCACAATGAGATTCCACATCCTGGCAGCCTCGGCCACAAGGGTGGAGACAGAGCTGCAGCCAGGCATGAGGATGATCTTGATGGGGTCGTTGTAGAGCAGTTCGTACAGGTACTTGGTGGCTTGGCCTGGGTCACACTGAACGAGGAGCGCAGGCTGTCATGAGAGCCCTCCCTTCCCTGCAGCTCCCACTCTTAGCCTTGCCTGCAGTGGGTTCTCTCTCTCTCTCTCTCTCTCTCTCTCTCTCTCTCTCTCTCCTGAACCTCCATTGTTTCACTGTCTTCTTCCTGTGTCGTCTTGCTCCTCCTTTGTTAAACACCCTCCTCTTTCTTCCACCTGGCTCCTAATCTCAATCCTGTCTTGCGCACACCTCTTTCAGTGTTAATACAGACGAGGGGCTTCAAAAAGCTTGTGAAGAAATCCCACTGTCTTTTCATCCCATTTTTCCAAGCACTGTGTGAAGGCCCCTAGTTCATCCTTCCCGGCCCCTGTGCTTCCAGCTCATCCTCAGACATCCCCAGTCCCATCTTCCCTCCATCACCTCTGCCAGTCATCATCTCATACTCATAGGTCAATGCTCCAAACTTTGGTGGCTGAGAAGGAATTCACAGGCATAGGAATAAACTCTCCCCCAAAGTCACCAGAGAACTTCCTCAAAGCTATATTATGCAAATGCCTCTTGGGGGGTGGGGGGGGCACTCTTCCTTTCCAAGTGCATCTCCCACTACCCTGTGCAGCACTAGAGATAAGTAAGCCAGAGAGAACAGGAACCAGAGCACTAGGGGGTCCTGCTTCACAATCCACCCCCTCCTGCTGGGCCCTGACATTTGAAGGGCCCATCACAAAAGGGAGGCTGAAAGCAGAGGACACTCAGAGGGGTGGGGGTGAGTGAGCAGGGAGCAGAAAGAAAGAGCCTGCGGAGAATAAACAGAATGGTTTAGGAGGGCTTGAAAGAGTGAGCGGCTGGGAGGTAGGGCAAGTAGGAATGGAAAGATAGGGAGGAAGAAAGGGATGATGGGAAGAGGGGAGATGGGGGAAGAGCCAGCTCTGGGTCTCTCACTGCTGAGTCCCCTCCTGCTGAAATGTAACATTTCAGAAGCGGCTGGAGTCCAAAAGGAAGTGGAGGAGAAATGGAAGCCAGTGGGGAACGAGGGCAGAGGGGACATAGAGAGGAGGGGCAGAAAACTGGGGAGGGTGAAATGGGGAGGTAAGAGGAGGGAGAACAAGTAGAAAGGAAATAAAGGAGGCCCCACCCCCACCCCCCTCTAGCCTGTTGGCTTCCCACTGAGGCCTGACATTTGGGACACTGTGGGATGTTATAGAGGGGGAGCCAGAGGAGGCTGGCAGTGTGCACAAACAAACCCTCACCCAGGACTCCGGGTGCCCACCCCACCTCCCACCACCCTGCAAAAGGCCCTGCCACTTTCCTGTGGTCTCCCAAGACCCTTCCAAACCTCATCTCACAAATAAGTTGATAAGAATAATGAAAACATATCCAAAAACTGGGACGTGCCTAGGCTGCCTCCTCGGTGTCTCTGGTCCCCTCATTACTTAGCTACTTCTGCTCACATCGTTCTGCCTTTTCGCAAACCTATTCCTCCTCCACTTCCGGATATAGGAAACCAGGCAATTGTCAACCCTCCCGGCGGCCTTCCTCTGTTCCCGCTGTTTTTGCTCAAGCAAAGATCTGGATTCACAGACAGGAAAGGACACATCCTAGCCCGGCCTTCCCGACCACCCCCTGCTGCCTCTGTTCTTCTCTACTCCAGGTCCTCATCTGCCCCAGCCCCAATCACCTGTCACGGTGAATGAGCCAGGGCTCCCCGACCTTCCTGTCACATACCTAGTCACATAGCTGGCACCTATTTCTACCTGTCTCTCTCCCCACACCCACACCCTACCTCAAGCCAATCAGCTCCTTAGCCTACTGTGTTTTGACCTGCCCACCACCGCTGACCCTGAATTTCTCTATCCCCTGTACCTAATTCCTTTCTGGGACCCCACCTCTCTCCCCAGGGCTATCATACCTGGAGAGCAACCACCAGGGTACCCCTTCAGGGCAGGGTTTCTCTTAGTAAAAAATGCAAATACTTGGGATTCATCTCTGACCAAGAAGTTAGAATCTGTATTTTTAACAAACCCCTCTGATGATTCTTATCAACACTGAAGTTGATAGAGCCATTGTGGGTCAAAGTGGCAGGATGGATCTGAAGTGCTCTCTCCAAATGCCCAGCATTCCTTGTGCCCTCTCCTCTTGGTGGTCCTCTTCACCCCTACATCTGCCCCCACCCCACTTACTCACTCCAATGCCCATTGCTCAGTCTACAGTGTTGTTCTAGAGAGGGGGTTAACTCCTCAGTCCACTAAGCCTTCTCCTCTCTCTTTACTCTGCGCCTATTTTCCCCTTCCTACCATCCCTTCAGTCCCCTTCTATGGGGATGAATTTGAAGTCACAAGTCACCTTTCTTCCCCATGTCCCAAATTATTCATCAAAGAAGCTTCATGATGGGACCCCACACACACCCAAAGGTTCTTGCCATTCTCCTGTCTCCCTCCCCATCCTCCAACCATGCAGCAGCCCATTACACTATAAAGGAAGATGAATTCAGGAACCAAGTTCCAGAGGCTGCCCCTTGATTTTTCATATGTTCTCCTGCTTCTTCTATATTCTGGCTGCTCCCGGTCCCCAAGCTGTTATCAAGGCTCCCACTGGGACCCTCGGTCTGCCCCATTTTCCCAGGGCCTATCTTCATCCATCACATACCAGATATCCGCACCGTTAAGGAATCAAGGATGAAGGCAAGGGGGGGAGTCAGGCTGCTGTTTATTGTGATCAATAAACTAGTGTCTCAAGTCTCTCCAAATTCTCCTCATTCCTTGCCTATTCCATCCAGCCCCAACCCACGCGTCTTGAGGAGACTTACCTTGTTACCATGGTAAAGGTAAACCCCTGATGCAGCGCTCACCTCTGACAGTCCGCTCCATCCATCCCCCAACCCACTCCAGGCTGAGTTTACTCCCCAGGAGCAGGACTGGCTGCAGCCCCCAACCCATCATCAGTCCCCGCCAAACCCAGCACTGCCATTCACCTCAGGGTTTCCCTTGTGATACCATCTTGGACCCCTAGTCCCTCATCTTGAACAGCCTGTCCTGTGATTCTCCCTGAGCCCCCACACCCCAAGTTCATGCCCCTTCCAGTCACAGATGGGGGGGTGGTCCTTCCTCAAAAGGCCAGAGGCAACTCCGACTGGGTTCATGCAGCAAGCCCTCTGTGCCCCCCCCTGCACCCCCAGCTCCCCACCTCCCACCGACCCCCAAGTCCAGGGTTACCTTACTGTCGTGGTGTATGAGCTTGAGCTCATAGTCCGGTAGGATGTCCCTGCGGCTATTCACGTCCTCCAGCGCCATCTCCACAGCGGGCTGGCAGGCCTGGCCCCCGGGCCAGCCCCCGCTCATGGGGAACAGCGCCCCGATGTACACAGCGCGCCGCTCTGAGGAGGGGTGCGGGGGGACCCGCGAGTGAGGCCGCGGGAGATGGGGGGAGTGGGAGGCCCACAGCGGAGCCACCCCCGCCGCCATCACCACCAGGAACGGCAGTGGCCACCCCACCCGGGGGGAGGGGGCCCCCGGACCCATGGTGGGGGGGCGGGGGTAGCCGCTGGAGGAGGGGGAGGAGCTCAGGGGGGACACTTTTCCCGGGGAGGGCTGCTGAATGAGTGATGAGAAGCCGCCTCCATCCCTGGTCTTGTGGGGAGGAGGGGGCAGCAGGCAAGATCAGCTCCTCCGGCCCCGCAGCTCCGGCTCGCCCCGCGGCCACCGCGGACTCTCCTCGCACTGACTGACCGACGGAGGGGGGGAGGAGGAGGAGGAGGAGGATGTGGGGCTGGGAGGGGGCTCTGACGTCACGAGCGGCGCGCGGCAGCGGAGTGGGGGGGCGCACAAGAGGAGGGAGGGGGAGGAGGAAAGGAGCTGGGAGCGAGGCGAGCGCCGGTGGGGGCCGGGGGCGACGCCAGTCCAAGGGCAGGGCAGGGGAGGGGGCCGGAGAGGGGCGATCGCGGCGCGAGTTGGGGGGCGAGAATGGCCGTGCTAGAGCAAGGTCTCATCTTTGGGGACCTCGGGGAAAAAGGGGGCGGGGGAATGGGCGTGCCAGGAGGGCGGGGTGGGCGGAGGGAGGCCGGAGCAGCTGGGAGCCAGGGACCCAGCGGCGAAGGGCCGCGAAGGGCGGGAAGGAAAGGGACTGTCCCCGGGCATCAGAATTGGGGTGGAGACCGAAGAGTGCAGGTCTGAAGGCGGGTAAGGAGAGCGGGGAGGGGTGCTGGGCGGAGGAAGAATTGAGGTGGAGGGCCCCCGTGTAGCAATAGAAGACAGAAAGTTGAGGCAGGGGAGGCCAAGGCTGAGAAAGGGCTAGGATTTAGGGAGGCTCTAAAAAAGGAGACGTGCGAGGCCAGGCCAAAGATGGGGTGCGGGGATGAGCAGCTGGGTGACGTCCCGGGGAGATTGTTCGTAACAAGCTTTCCCGGAAGGTGGGGGTCTCCCCGCACCCTCCCCCACCCCCCTGCAGGGCGTCCGCCCAGAAACCCCAAAACAGCCTGGACAAGCGAGTGCAGGCCAGCGGCGCGACCCGTGGGAACACAGGCCGCGGAAAACCGAGGCTGAAGCTGGAATTGCCAAGGGAGGGAGGAGCGGCTGAGAAGTTGGGGGTGGGGAGAGGCGACGGAGAGACTGGGCCCCAAAGGCCTAGGGCCACAGTAAGGGGGTGGAGAATGGTTGCAGCGCGCGCAACAGGGATGCTCGGCTCACCTGAGTGTGGCGTTCGGTTCGCTGGCAGCGGGAAAGACGGGATCAGAGAACAGTTACCACGGGCGCCCAGCTTCCCAGGCCTGATCCCCAGCCCCCTCCCACACCTGTCCATGCCGGCGGCAGCGGCTGGAGAGCGGACGCCGGCGTTTCTGGGGGGAAGGTGCCTGGCAATAAGAGCAAGGTGGAGCTAGGGGTCAGGATTTGTCAGCTTTCTGCTTTTCTGTCCCATGGGACAATGGAATTTGAGGTAGTACTGCCTAAGGCTAAGGCTGGAGCAGACCCTAGTTTTGCTGAACCTGAAGATGATAAAATTTGAGGTCTCTCTTTAAGACAGAAAGATTGGTTTGAACCAATTGCTGTAAATTTTTCCGACTTTTAGCACATGTGACATTAGTGAGCCATTACTAGTGCTCAGTAATAAGAGGCCTATGGCAATAGAGCCCTCAAAAGGTAAGCTTTATTATCTTCCTGGTAAACCCATCCCTGGGTGGGATCTCAGTGTCCAGAATTGTAAACTAGAAGTCGAGTAAGGTCACTATGAGTCGGAATAGACGTGATGGCAGACAGAGCTTAGGGGTGGAAGAGGCTAGTCCTTTTCTACACTTGGATCCCAGGGTCCAGAATTGTAAACTAGAAGTAGAATAACTGCGTTAAGTAATGAAATCAAGGCCTGAGAATCTACAAGGCGCTCAAAACTCAATCCATGTCCATAAGTCAATTTCAACTACAGGACAGGGTAGAATTGCCCCGTTGGGAATTTTAAATCTCTAGAGGTGCAGAGCACCTCATCCTTCTCCAGCAGAGAAACTGGCGGGTTGTTGATATTGCAGTCAGCAGGCAAACTGCATCACTCAGCACACCACTAGGGCTCCTTTCTACAAGAGTAGAGATAAAGAAACAAGCGGCCACTGGAGACACCAAGGGAGGGTCTGAGTGATCAGGAAAGGGGGGCACTTCTGGTACTAGATGACAAAAAAGTGGGGAACACAAGGCAATGATGGAAGTTGTCTGGAAGGTAACTAAGTGTAGAAAATGTTTATCCTCTTCCTCCACCCCCTAATCTCTGCCCCTGCCATCAAATGGATTCCGACTCACACCGACCTATAGGACAGGGTAGAACTGCCCATGTGGGTTTCCAAGACTGTCACTCTTTACAGGAGCGGAAAGCCTCATCTTTCTCCTATGGAGTGACTGGTGGCTTTGAACTGCTGACCTTGTGGTTAGCAGCCCCATGCATAATCACTAAGCCTCCAGGACTCCTATCCACCCCTAATACTCTGTTAATTCTGCCACCAGTTGTAGTGCTTCTACCCCAATACTTTCCACCCCCAGATCTCCTTCCTAATCTTATCATTATTCTCAATATGACATGAAGTTTGTTTTCTCCATCATATGAGGAAAGGGTAGAGAGATATTAAGGAATGAGGAGGTTCTAGAAGAGGATGATGTGGAGAAAGCTCTAAGTTGAGAGAAAAGGGCTGAGGTTGGGGAAACCTTTAAGGAGGATGAGGGAGGGTGAGATTTATAAAGGAAGAGAAAATGTGAGGCCCAAGGCTTGGGGTGGGGAAAAGATATAATTAGAGTAGGAATAAAAGAAGGAATACTTTAGGGAAGCAATACTTTTGAGAGGAATTGGAGACAGATGGATGAAGGAAAGAATTAGGCTTACCCCACTGCCCCACCCCCACCCCAAGTCCCTCCACCCAACACACACACACATACACTTTGTCCAGAGCCCTGTCCCTTCTCACCACCCATGCCATCCCACTAACATCTTTCCCCAAGCATCCTCAGCAGATGCATGCAGGGAGCCCTTCATCCCCCTCACCCTGGCAGCGTGGCTTGGCGCTGCTCCACAGGCCCTGACCACAGGTGCTCCGAGAGCTGCCCACCAGATGGAAGTCGGGGTCACATCGGAAATCCACCCGGGCTCCGTCCAGAGCTGGGAGATCCCCACCCGTTAGGAAAACTTTCCCATTTTCCAGGGTCAAATAAGACTTGGAGCAGATTCGGACTGTGGAAAGATAAATAAGCAGAGCGGAGTTGAAGGAAGCTGCCTCTCCTTAGAGGGGAGGGAGTTCTGGTTGAGTTTGGGGTCCAGCTGCCTCTATTCTGATGGAAGGATGGAACACGAACACGCCTCCCCTCCCTGACTTCCACACATTCCTTAACCCCCTCAAAAAACACTCTGCAGCCAAGTCGATTCCGGATCCTATAGGACAGGATAGTTCTCCTCTACAAGCTTGTCTCGAAGACATGCTGGTGGTTTCCAATCGATGACATTGCAACGCATAACCACTCCGCCACCAGGCCACCCTTAACCCTACACATTCCCTAAAGGGAAATTAAAAGAAAAGAAAGGCATTTCCACTGTAGAACCCAAGATGGAGCTATAAGCTCATAAAATGGGGTTCTTTGGAAGTCGGCTACAGTGGGCGCAACTCAGGCTTTCAACTGTGTGAATGGAGATGACTTTGGATGCACAATCAGGGAGGCCGCTCTTTGGGGTGCTTAGTCCATATTAATACAAAACCGACTTTCATCTCACAGGCATGCAGTCTCGGTGGGAGCCAAAGATAGGTGAATACGTGATGAACCCCTTAACATTTTGTTTTGCTCCGTCTGCCCCCAGACAAGACACTGGGAAGCCCCTTTTGCATAGTAACTGTTCAATAAATGCCTTTGTGGATTCGGCCGCGCATAATTTAAAGGGCTGACTTGGCAAGTGGTGGATGCTAAGTTTGGGAGGAAGAGGGGAGGCCCTGAACCCGGGAAGGACTTTGCGAGCTTACTCACCACAGCGGCTGGGTGTGTCCATGTCTGTCCAGGAGCCGTTGGCCAGGCACTTGCGCACCTTGGGCCCCACCACCTCGCGCTCCCCCCGGCACACATACTCAATCTCATAGTCCACCGGCAGGAAGTTGATAGCCTTCACCTGGTCCCGAGTCAAGCCCCGGTACCTGATGCCCCCTTCCCAGGGCGGGTGTATAATGTGGCAGCCTGGAGGACGCGTCCGGGAGGCGTGCAAGGAGAACGTGGGGAAACGGAAAGGCAGAGTGAGTGGCCACCAGCCGGGGAGCGTAGGGCGTGGTCAGTGGGCAGGCGGAGAGATGGGGTGCTGGGCAGAGAGCGTGGGGACTGGCGCGGAACCCAGGAGGAAAGGACAGCGATTTAAGGCCGCCGGGGCTTTGGGCAGAAGGGAACACCCACCTGCAAGAGGGGGGCGGGGGGAGTGCTTGTGGTGGGAAATGGGGTAAATGAGAAGTCGTGAGGGGTTCAAGGGCGGTGGAGCTGGTGAGAAAGACTAAGAGGGCACATTTGGGCTGAATGGGGCGAGGGGGGGGAGGGCCAAGCCATCCTGTGGGGGTGGGGCGGGTGGTCCCGTGTAGTAAGGTAGGGCAGAGTAGTAATGTTGGAAGGCGGAAAGGAGGCCCGGAGGAGTAGGTGGGGCCGACCGGAAAGGACCGTCAGGTAGTAAGGGATGCTGTGCGGGGCTGCTAGGATACAGAGGAGGACCAGAAAAGAGGGGTGGGGGGTAGAGGAGGATGAGGGCCCGAGACCGCCAGAGGAGGGTGCACCTTCCGAGGTGGTGTTGGGGGTCTGCGCCCCGCCCGCGCCCAGGGGGCGGAGGAAGAGCCGCGCCAGCAGCAGCAGC